CCCCCCCCAACTTGTGCTTGCTCGCTCACACACGCTCTCTCTTAAAAACAAATATTTTTTAAAATGCTTTTCAAAAGGTAAGAAAACATCTCAAGAAAAATAAGGGAGTAACAGATGTGAAAGGCAGGGGTGAGGCATGGATCAGGGAGCCCCACGGTGCTGGGAATTTTCCTGAGTCGGGTGCATGGACCCATTTGTTATTTGTTATCCTTACCTGTGTGTTACAAACCTGCATTTGTGTATATGGACTAATTTGATTTAAAAACTTAAACCTATGGGGTGCCTGGATAGCTGAGGTCATGATCTCAGAGTTGTGAGATCGAGCTCCACGTGGGTCTTTTGCTGCATGTGGAACCTGCTTACAATTCTCTTCCTCTAAAAAAGAGATAGAGATTTATAGATAGTTGTAGTTATAGATACAGACATATAGCACGGAGGCTGGGGGGTGGGACTAGAGATGTCCCAGCATCTTGTTGTTGTGGCTGGCAAAGGGAGGGTGGCCTGTATCCCTTTCCTGCAGGACCACAGATCTCTGGGTGAGCACTAGGCCCCCAAATGCTAGGAGGCTGCAGTCCTTAGCCGCCACTTTATTCTGACCTCCTTTAGCTTGAGATACATTGCACCCTGGATCTGGAAACAGCCAGCAGCATTATAACCTTACAATGTGACCTGAGCGTGTGCCTTTGCCCCCCAGGGAGCAGAAGGCCTTTCCTCGTCCACATTTGATAACTGACTCTTAAGAGTAACAGGGACGTGAAGGCCCTGCAGATGAATTTGTTTCCTCTCTGCCTGGGGCTGATGTTTTGTTCTCCGCTTGCTTCCAGCGTCATCGTCTCCCAGTGGACCAGCATGCTGCACGTGGTAGCCTTGCACCTGAAGAGGCACGGCCTGACTTATGCCACCATCGATGGCTCCGTCAGCCCCAAACAGAGGATGGACCTGGTGGAGGCATTTAACAGCTCCAGGGGCCCTCAGGTACGAGCTGGTCACATCAGAGCTCTGTAGTCAAGAGCAAATTATTCTCAGTTATATACAGAGAGCATTCTGGTGTAGCAGCTCAGCTATCAAAACATTCATTGCCTTGCTCCCTCCACATGCTGTTAATTTAGGAGGCATTTATTGGCGTATGTATCAAAGTGTGCAAATCCTTTAAAGAGAATAAAATATGAGGGCTGTAGAAGCAGAGGAAGAGCAGAACTGGTTGGACCGAGTGAATCTTTGTGGAGGAGGCAGGCCTTGAAGGTTAGATGGGGGTTTGACGAGAGGGAGTGTGGGGAGAAACGAAGTAACAGCAAGAACACGGAAAACTTTGGTGGACTGATGGGCAGGAGCATTCACAGCAGCAGGCGTCGGGGTGCAGAGACCCAGGGAATGGACGGAATCTGGTTAATGGAAAGTCCGCTGCGCCAGCCACCCCAGTGCTCTCAACTGTAGTATTTGTGTATTTTGGCAGGCATGCATGCCTTGTGTTTTGAGGTTGACCCACAAAAAAAATACGAAGTGAGTTTTCTTAAAGGTGAGGCATGGGAGATAACATCTCAGAGTTTTGGGCCAGCAGAAGGAAATTTGATAGGGATTGATCTTGGGCTTGAACCTGAGACAGAGGGAGAGCTGTAGTAGGAGGCCAAATCCATATAAAGGGAATGCTGTGCTTTCTTTTGAAGGTTATGCTAATCTCTCTCTCGGCTGGAGGTGTTGGCCTAAACCTGATTGGAGGAAACCATCTTTTTCTTCTGGATATGCACTGGTAATGATTCTGGATTCTCCTTGCATCGTCAGCAGCATAGCACGAGGATCTAGGGGCTACAGGGGCGTTGGGGCCTGACTTCCTATGTTGAGAATGCTCTTTTTGCATTCTGGAGATGCCTCCGCTGCATGGGTGTGTACAGGTACAGGGCTAAACAGGGTATAGGACTGCTGATGGGCCTGAATTCCTGAGCAAGCAAGGCTTCAAGTGACTACTTAAAATAGCATTCGCTTTATTGTTAATCTGACATCTGTTTCCATGGAAACTGGGAAGAGGGCTTTTTCTCAGGGCTAAGAGCTATCTCACTCAGTTTTACCTCCTCAGAATACCATATTTCACACACATTTGTTGACGTCCAAGGAAATTTCAACCCTGAAAAAGAAGGAGCAGCTTTACTGCAAAAGGAAAAGGAATTTTCTAATTACGTTAGGAATACACTTAACACAAGGCCATTGGTTTTGCACGTAGCATCAACATTGAGAGCATAACAGCAAATTTCCTAGACATAAGATAAATGAGTTTGTGTGTTGGTAGGAGGAAAATGTCATAATTAGTCTCAGTTTGGGGTTTTCCAATTATGCCAAATAGGGCTTTTGTCTGATTCTCCAGGCGGCCCAGATTGGCGCAAACAGGCCAACCTGTTATCATCTTCTGGGAGAATGTGTTTTGGTCTTATTTGGGACTCCCTGATACATGTGAGGGAGGAAAGCAGAGTGGGAGTTAAATGCTGATTTCTGGGGGTGCCTGGCTGGCTCAGTCGGTGGAGTGTGCGACTCTTGATCTCAGGGTCATGAGTTCGAACCCCACAGTGGGTGTGGAGAGTACTTAAAAATAAAATGTATTAAATTTTTTTTTTTTTTTTTTTAATTTTAGAGAGTGAGTGAGAGCAAGTGAGGGAGAGGGGCTGAGGAAGAGAGAGAAAGAATCCTAAGCAGGCCCCATGCTGAGCACGGAGCCCCACGCAGGGCTTGATCCCATGATTCTGGGATCGTGACCTGAGCCAAAATCAAGAGTCAGACCCCTAGCCGACTGAGCCACCCAGGGGCCGCTAAAAATAAAATCTTGAGTACATACGTAAATACATACATGGCTGTGTTTTGAAATGGAGAAATCTTGTCCAAGATTTCAAAGAGGAAAGATGAGAAACTAGCTTGAAGTTGATAGTGAGAATCTATAAAGAAGACAAGAAATTAAGTTCCCTTAGTTGAATCTTAGGATATGAAAGTTAAAAACGGTGTTCAAGATCATTAGGCAGCCCTCACGTTCCCGGGTAGCAATCTGAAGTTGAGGTTCCAGCTAGTTAGTGATCGAAATTGAGCATTGGCGTCCCCTGTGTTACTTAACTGTTGTCAGCTGATGGTGGTGTGGGGTTTCTGTCGGCACACTGACCCGAGCTTCTCATTCGAGGGCGAGAAGATATTCGAAGCTAATCTTTCTGAGGGCAGCATAGCATAGGTCAAGGGATTTGCAAACTTGCTCTGCAGATATTTTAGGCCCGATGGTAACTGTTTTAGGCTTTGTGGGCTACATAAGTCTCTGTCCTTTGTTCTTCTCTATGGGCTTTTCTCAACCCTTTAAAAATGTGATCACTGTCTGTAGCTCCGGAACTCTCCGGAAGCAGCTGCAGGCTGGCTCTCCCCAGGGCACTTGCCCATCCAGCCCAGGGCGACAGCACCTCTGAGCTTTGCCTCTTTTCTAACAGGAATCCATCACTCGAAGACCAGGCTTGTGACCGAATTTACCGAGTAGGGCAGCAGAAAGACGTTGTCGTGCACAAGTAAGTCAAGGCCTCCCGGGACCTAGGCCCCTTCCCAAGCTTTACTTTTGTGAAAGTCTTTCTTGGGGGGTGTTTTCATAGAACGTAAAGTATTTGGTGAGCGCCTGACTAACGATGCCCGTGAGGCACGGCCTCCCTTGTACCCACAGTCCGGAAGGGAACACAAGCAATATGGGGGTACCCTTGGGGTTGGTCCCTGCAAGATTGCATATTAGGTTAGGGAGAGCATCCTCCTCCCCACCCTTTATTTATTTAGTTCTTGCTTTTAACTTTTATTTTGACATACTTTCAGACATGTGGAAAAGAACGTAAGAGTTCTTGTTTGCAAAAATAACGCCAAAAAATTCTTGTGTGCTGTACCAGGTATATGTGTGCGTGTCAGGGCCATCAGTGAATTCCACAATCTGCCATACACAGCGACATGCTGCTTTCCCTGTCGTTAGCTCTCTCTTCACCCTGTATGCACCTCCATCGATAATCCTGTCTACTCCAGGGAGCCCACAGTCTGTGTCCTCATTCCCAAGCTCTCCGACACATCAGACCTAGATACCCAAATCCGTGCTAAACGTCTGAGTCTGAGTGTGCACCTACTCATTCACTCGTGCTTTCGTCTCATTTAACTCCCAAAACTAATACCCGTTGAGCACTCACTGTGTAGCAAGTACTGTGACATGTTCCAGGCACTCAGAATGTCGCAGACGGAAATGGGATACCATAGCCTCATGTCTCTTGATGCTTCTGAATTCCTTGTCTTTGTGAATATCCAATTCTGGAGCCACAGACTATGTTCCTCCCTTTTTTCTCTTCACATACCAAGTCCATTAATTTCATTTTCTAAATGTCTGTTACAGCCATCCCTTCCTTTCCCTCCGCACTGCCACTACCCTCTTCCAAATCTAAATTTCTTAGCGTGACACGCAAAGCCGCTCACGAAGTGGTCCCTGCCATCCTCTTGAGCTTTTGCCATTGCGGTACAACATGGCGGAGTCCTTTTGACTTTTGCCCTGGCCAGACTGGACAGCCTGCTCTTTCTCCGACACGCCATGTTCTACTCTTTGTGCACACTGGACACATTTCTGTAGCACTTTCCAGCTGCCTTGTGTTTATTTTCAGGTCTCTCTTCTTTGTGTGCTCTTTGAGAGCACAAGGTACCCATCCCTCCATTCCTACACACCTGGCATGTTGTAAATGCCGAATCAGTGCGTGTTGAACGAGTGAATGACAACAGTGGCATTTCTTCAGGTTGTACAGCCTGTGTTCGGTGTGAATTAGCCAAGAAATGAGACACTGCACTCACACCAGCACACATACACCTAGCAGAAATTTGATAAGCTTTAAGGCCTTCTGACTTGATCAAGATTGAGCTTTTTGGGTGGAAGCTGATCTCTACAGTTTTGGATGGAGATATCTTTGGCTTATTTTGGCATTTTTTCAGTTACCTCAGCTTCAGAAAGAAACGCAAAATAATTTACATCACATCATTTTAAATGGGCATATACTTAGTCAAGGTTGTTTGGGTCTTCTAAGCGTGGCGTTTTTAACTAAACCTGAGAAGACTTAAAGGAAGAAATCTTAAAAACTAAAGCCTTGAGTAGAAGTTTGAACGTGTTATATTAAATATGCTGTTTTGGGTGTTTGTTACATATCTATTTTTTTAGGTTTATTTGTGAGAGAACAGTGGAAGAGAAGATCTTACACCTTCAAGAAAAAAAGAAAACTTTGGCCAAACAGGTTCTATCAGGATCTGGAAAATCTGTCAAGAAGCTCACGTTGGCTGACCTCAAAGTCCTTTTTGGCATCTAACTTCCTGTTTACCGGGCTCAGGGTAGTGCTGCTGTTGGTTTGTGTTAGGATCTGGGAGAGCGACCTACACGTGACCCTCCGAGCCCTCCTTGGCCCTAGGCCCTCCCTGGAAGGAGGCGTCATCGAGCCTCAGTTACCATGTTAACTAATTGGTGAGTCAGTCAGGTTAATCAATCGACTTATTTAAGAGTGACAGAGAAACTAATGAACTACTTCAGAAAAAAGAAAATGCCTGAGAGTTCAAGAATTTTGGAAAACAACGCCAGGACAGTTGTAGGAAAGCTTCAGTAAAAGCTCAAAACGCCGTCTGTTGCCTTTCTCTTCTCAGCTCAGGGGGGACCAGTGTCCCAGCTCCGTGCCATCTGTGCCTCTCCCGCCAGTGAGGCTGCTCCTTTTAACATGTCCCTGGGCAGAGCAGAGAGTGGACCCCGCGGCCATGCCTCTGTAGCTGCCTCCACCAAACAGTTCTCCCTCACAGGCGTGAGACCAAGGAGGTGCCTCGTACGTGAGCAGGTGTCTGTTATGGGCATCATCACAGCATTCAGTATTTGGTATCGTTTCACCTAGTGCTGTTCCACTGTTTCCTGTCACTGTGATATCATGTGCTACTTGTGAAATAAAATGGACTATGTGTGTGTGTGTGTTTTTTTTTAATGTTTATGTATTTTTGAGAGAGAGAGTGAGCAAGTGCAAGCAGGGGAGGTGCAGAGAGAAAAGGAGACACAGAACCCGAAGCAGGCTTCAGGCTCTGAGCTGTCGGCACAGAGCCCGATGTGGGGCTCGAACCCACAGACCACGAGATCATGACCTGAGCTGAAGTCGGACGCTCAACCAACTGAGCCACCCAGGCGTCCCTGCTATGTGTCGTTTTTTACAGTACAGGCAGACCTCCCTTCATGGCGCCTTGTGGATACTGCATTTCTTGGCAACAGCATTTGCTTACTTCCTGTCTGCATCACAGTTTGGTAACAATGTTTCAGGCTTTTCCTTATATTTGCATGGCTGGGATCTCATGATCAAACTTGAACAGATGAGGAGCTGCTTCTGATGGATGAGCAAAGACAGTGGTTTCTTGAGATAGAATCTGTTCCTGGTAAGGATGCTGTGCAGACTGTCGAAATGACAATACAGGATTTAGAATAGTCCAGAAACTTACTTGATAAATCAGCAGGGTTTGAGAGGATGGACTCCAAGTCTGAAAGAAGTCCTACGGTGGGTAAGATGCGGTCACACTGCATCACAAGCTACAGACAAATAGTTTGTGAGTTACGACAGATTTCACTGTTGTCTTAAGAGGTTGCCACAGCCAACACCATGATCCATGTCAAGGCAAGACCCTCCACCGACTCGCTGAAAGTTCAGATGATAGCATTCTTAGCAATAAAAGATTTTTAAATTAACATATAATATATATGTCGTTTAGACATACTGTTGCACATGTAACAGACTACAGTATGGCGTAAATATAATTTTTATATGCACTGGGAAACCAAGAAATTCGTCTGACTCACTTTACTGTGATATTTGCTGTACTGTGGCGGTATGGAACCGAATCGGCAATATCCGAGGTATGCCTGTGTTTGCATTTTTACAGATTTACAATATTTGGAGCACTTTGTATCACAGTCTCACTTAGTATTAGATCATGTTAGTATTTCTGCTATCATATCCTTTAGTATTTGTATGACGGTTGGTTTAACCCGATAAATGTGTGCCCGACACTGTAGCAAAGATAATGCTGTGTGCTCACTCAGCCTCTTCTTCCCGGACACCAAGAGAGACCACATTTCCCAGTCTTCACTGCAGTCACATGGACCCGTATTACTGAGTTCTAGACAATGGAATGAGGAGAGAAGTGATGTGGGTCATTTCTTACCTCCCTCTCAAGCTTCAATGACTCATCAAGCTGTTTCTTCCCTCATCGGCCCACCAGATGCAAGGAACTGATGGACACCTACAGAGTCCTAGAGAAGCCTCTAGGTCAGCGATTCTTATCCTACTTCTGGCCCATGGACCCTTTCGGCAGACTAGCAAGTGTCACTTCCTCAATGGAACAAAGTCTTCCCCATGTGTGCCCCACCCCTCACCCCTGCTCACCCACACTGGATTGTCACAGGATCAGAAAATAGTATTTTTTTAAGCCACTGAGATTTTGGGGTTGTTCATATAGCAGTGAGTAATCTAGCACAAACTCGTGATACTTGTATACTTGGAGAGACTGTCCATGTTTCCTTCTTCCCATTAGCAATCATTTCCAAAACACATCTGGTAATTTCTGCTAGAAAGGGTTGTGGTTGTCCTAGATAGAACTATTGCCCTCATTTAAATTAGAGTTAGGAGATGAAGCCCTTTGTTGACCCAGCCACAGTATGGACCAAGGCACCCGAGCCTGAGTAAGCAAGGGTGCTGAGGACAAGGACTAAAAGCCTACATAGGCAAAAACAGCACGGCCTGGTAGGAAGCGTTCTGGTGTAGAACTTAGTCTTGAGTCAAGTTCCAGGTTCGTCTTAGCTGGGGGCATAAACCTTGTACAAGATCATTAACTTCTCTGCACTTTGGTTGCCCCGTTTGTAAGGTGAGTATTATTTTCAGAACTCAGCAACTAAAGTGAGGTCCCTGATGAGATCAGGAAATGAAGGAAGTAAGATTGCCCTTTCTTGCAGGTTTTGTTAAAAGTTCAACACACCGAGGCAAAGATACAGTCCCCAGTAACAGTGGCTCCCAGGCTGGCGAGAATGCATAGAGCCCCGCTCCTCTCTCTGCTGATTGTCTGATATTAGGCCATTTACAGATTCCTTGGGCGCCTCAGCTCTGTCATCTGTAAGGTGTATGGATTAACATCTCATTATGCGCCACTGGGAATTTAGTAACTAATACATACGCTGTAACCCATCTGACTAAATGGAAGGCAGTCGTGTCAGTGTGAAGGCCTGTTAGAAGAACACTATGCATTCCAAGTACTGTTTAGGACAGAGGCACTGTTAGCTTTGAGGTTTACGCATTTGAGAGAGAGCGTGTGCACAGGCATGAGCTGGGTACACAGGGGTAGAGAGACAGGGAGGGAGAGAGTATCCCAAGCAGGCTGACAGTGTAGATCCTGACACAGGGCTTGATCTCACGAACCATGAGATTGTGACCTGAGCCAAAATGAAGAGTCAGACATTTGACTGAGCTGCCCAGGCACCCCAAGGGCCAAGCATTTTTGCTTTAGTTTGGAGATGGATGCAGGGATTATAACATACAATCTTCAGGTATTCAGAGCCCGCTGACATGTAATCTGTAAGATCCCGTCTGATACCTTAACCAGTTTCTGTAGTGTTCCTTGTGATTCTAAGCTAGCAAAGCCATATAATTATGTCCTGGGTAAGTATTCCTATACTAGTGAGATGCTATTGGCATGAAGTAGACACAGAAAAAGTTGGAATGTTGTTTCAATGGGATGGAATATACCAAACCATGCATTCTTTTTTTTTTTTTAATATTTATTTATTTTTGAGAGACACAGAGCATAAGTGGGGGAGGGGCAGAGAGACCAACAGAACCCAAAGCAGGCTCCAGGCTCTGAACTGTCAGCACAGCCTGACCCAAGGCTCAAACCCATGAAGCATGAGACCGTGGCCTGAGCCAAAGTCGGATGCTTAACCAACTGAGCCCCCCGGGTGCCCCCCAAACCATGCATTCTTACATCCTAGTCCTGGAGTAGAAACTTCTTGTGATTAATGTTAAGTAGCATTCTGGTGTCTCTCAGGTCCACATTGATTTTAGTCACTGTGAGTCAGTTTCTTAAGGCCTGGGCATGACATGATGGGCCTCTACACCCTCTAGCAACAGGCAGCATCCCATACTAGTGATCGAATTGGGGTTCTGCCGGTGTCAACCAGACTTCCGTATGTGACACCCTTACTGCCAGATTATCTTCTTAAGGCTGCCTGCCTACCTTACTGGACTCGGGCAAGGACAGAACGATGTACTAAATGCTTTGTACACTGTGGAAGTGTCGTACAAGTGCTAGTGTTACCGCTGTGGGACCAGGTCTGGGAGTGAGAGTAAAACAGGAGCATGGGTGCAGCTGAAAGCCAGATGGTGAGTATCTGTCACCAAAGGGCAACACTGCTGAGCACCCAACTTACAAGGTATTTCTTATGTGACAGATGTGACTTGATGGGAGCTTTACAGTTTGACTTCTCTTTAGCAGCGTTGATCTTAAAAGGGGGCATTGCGCATGCCATGGCTGGACGGAATCCTGAACCCTTTAAAAATCCCACCAACGACTCTGAAGATCCCACCAAGAGCTCCTGTTGCCACGCAGTTGTTATGACCAGCAATAGATAGGATGATATCTTTGTGGAATATGACCCTTTTCCCTAGCAGTTTCGTGTGTGTGACTTAGAATTGCTATACACGAACACTGACTTGTTTACTCTCTGATTCTCTCTCTTGCCCGATGAAGTGGCCTGCACCAAGGCTCAAAGGCGAAGCCAGATTCTTCCCTACTAATAGGACAATCATGGAGTCACCGGTGTTCCGTATGACCTCTGCGGTTGTCTGGAATCTTGATGTTGACCATGATGCCTTGGGAGAATTGGGTTTACAAAGTGGGGTATTACACTGCTATTTGCCATCTAGCATCTAGCGCTGAGAAAAAGCAGGAGGAATGTAAAAAGCATAGCTGCAGGCACAAAGAATGATAATGAGAACTTGGAATTCCTAAGCATGTAACCTAGAAGAAAATGTTTGCAGAAATAAACATGAAATTAGGATCCCTTATAGCACAAAGTGCCACAAGAGTCCGTCGGTCAGGATGGAGAAGGAAATGGCCCCTAGGGCCTGGCCCCTCGGGGGCAAACAGGGGAGACAGACCTGCAGTCACATGACCTCTTTACTAGCTTGAGTCCTTTTTTACCCAGAATCCTTAGCTAATCTGAGTGTAGGTAGAGATTAGGTATAAAAGGTAGGATGGGGAGACTATTTCCACTGCTAAGTCCTTCATACATTCAAAA